TGCAAATGTGAGCATAATATTACTCTTTACTTGACTCCATCTGATTTTCGACTTTACCATCTTATGTCTACATGAACCTTTCAAGCGTTCCAAGAATAAACCAAGCTTTCTGCCTTCCAGAGAGGCGTCCTTGGGCATGGACTTTGTGAGGAGTGGGCCTTAGGGTATGGTAGAATTGTGGAATACATGCAAGTTATCTCTGTTTCTGTAGTGTACCTGTTCATTGTATATTTTAACTGGTTAGAGTTGGAAATTCTTAGTTTCAAAATACTTAATAAAAACATATAAGCACATCTTGTTAATTAGCAACGTCTAACTTAAAACCCTAGTTAAGACGCATATACATTAATGACTTTCCTTTTGCCTGGAAACAGTCAACATACCTTGTACTCTGTTGAACATTATAAAGTGAATGTGGAAGATGAATTTATCCGAGATTATGTGTATCTCTCTAATATTGACAATACTGATTTATGGTTCATTAAACTTACCTATTCATTAAAGGAACTCAGAGTAATTTTCAGAGTAATATCAAAGGTTTAGGAAACCTCAGTTAGAACTGTTGGGTCAATGATGTGGTTTAGAGGCTACAAAACACCACTTAGACATTGCCTAGAAAAAGGGTCCTCAAAAAGTCAGCAGGCAAGTGAGAGTAGATAAAAAGAGGCCATTGACTTTAAAGGAGCTACAGAGGTCGGTTACTGAGACTGGAGTAAATGTGCAACAGACAACAGTTTTAAGATTTCTACATCAAACCGGCTTAAGTGGATGGTATGAAATAAGTAATTACTCAAAACTAGCCATGTGAAAGTTTGCTAACAAAATACGAGACTGACTCAGCTAAGATTGCGAGAATGTTTTTGTGTTTAAGATGACTTGTTGGAGTAACCCTTTAAAAACAAATACATGAATATTCCTCACTGACCCAGTCAAATTTTTGATCTCACTCCTTTTGTGGCAATATTTGAATTTTGCAGTCTATCCAACCTGGAACGAATCTGCCAAAACAAGAAAGGACAAAAATGACCCCCAGGCAGTGTGAAAAGCTGGTAGATACCTACTCCAATAGACTGAAAGCTGTTATTACAGCAAACACTGGCTCTACTAAATATCAGTATGGGGAGTTTGACTACTTAATAAAACAGAATATATCAGTTTTGTTCTATCAAATATCTACTCATAAATGTATATTTATGGCTTTAAATTGTACATTAGGAGCACAAACGTTTACAATAAAAATATTTGTTTTTACTTATAATCTAGAGGTTTGAATAGTTTTGCATAGCTCTATCTAGTTATTAGGGGTAGGCAACCTTTAGTACTCCAGAGGTTGTGGACTTCATCTCCCATAATGCTCTTACACCTATAATGCTGTCAAACCATCAAGGGTGATGTAGTCCACAACCTCTGCAGTGCCAAAGGTGGCTTACCCATATAGTAAATAGAGAAAAATAAATTTCTAGAGCAATTATTTGTGAATAGACAATATTTATACAAAGGGAGTGAATGGAGGAATGATTATTAAGAGTGGTGAGTTTGAATGTATGTAGATAAAGAGGAGAAAATGACTGTAAGTACGTATATGTGTATCTCTCTCTGTTTCTTAGATGATGCCTATTGACAAGTTAGGCAATTGGATGCTGAACAGGTCAAGATTAATAGAATTCCTTGTAAAGTATCAGAACTTACATTGATCAGCATTTCAACACTTCATAAATCAATCCTATTGCGAACTATTCATTACGTTCTAATAACACCCATTCATCGACATTCCTTGAAGTTGTTCAAAAGTTTATGTTTTCAGAGTGGCTAATAAATAACTTTAAATCAAGAGCGTATTGTAAAACAAATGGAACAAAATGAATGTAAATAAAACTGTGACCATCTCATCTCCTTTAGAAATAAATCGATAGTAGAGAGAGATGTTCAGGAATCCTTACATACTATAACACATTAAATACTATAATTGTTTTATACTTTGTAAGTAGTGGTGCTGCTGTAAATATCAGAATAGATAGAGTAGGGAGCAGCGCGCACACAAAAAAATAATAAATAGATTTAAATGTTATAAAGATACTTAAATCACCTATCTTAGCAAACAAATATGGGGATTCAGTTACACCACATGGCCATATTGTGTAAAGACCACCACTACGTCACAGTCCTTTTAAAACTTTATTTGTGTGCGTGTGCTGTTCCCTAATCTGTATTTTGGATATACTAGCTTGTATCACACTCACATATTGTTTTTGTGGCATATATTTTTATTAAAGATAAAATACAAAAACTACAGTGGGTATGTAGCTAAGTACTGGAAGAGATGGCATGTCCCAGTTGCAAAACGTTTCCCGATTAGTGCAAAAACCTCTGACCATATCATGCGGTAATGTGTTTTTAGGTGTGCAGCTCCATCTCCATTTATTTGTCAGTGTAACTTAAAAAGAAGAAATGGCTTGAATAATGTCCTGAAGACTATGGCCTAAGGATCCTGCGATCCCCTCATTTGAAATGACTCCCCCATTTCCTTAAATATGGTCTAAATCCTGATCCAATTGTGATTATGGAATTTCTGCCTCAACTTCTGAAGTCTGTATGTCTTTATTCAGTTCTTTGAACTCTATTTGATTTTTGTTTATTATGCTTGTCCTGTTTATCTTGTTTAAGTGGCTTGTTTCTGGAAGTCATACTACATTTAACCACTATATCAAATCAATACCACAGGGTAAAGCAGAGTGAGACAAAATAATGCTACTAAATAACTGTGAAGCTTTGCTACTTAATATTTAGTGACCTGGCATAACTTAAGCGATACAACCATGTACTTGTATGTATAGCTGCAGTTGATGATAACGAGGTGTTCTTAAAGTCAAAGATTGTAATGCACTCACAAATAGTCCCAGCATATGAAGCAGTAATTAAAGCTGTGGTTAAAGTCCTTAAAGCAGTTAAAAGAGATCAGCTCTTTATTATATATTGCAAACTGAAGCAAAATTAGACACGAGCAGCTGTAGTAAGACAAGAGCATCTGTAATTGGCAGTTAGTAGGCTTACATATCTTCAAGCAATACATTGAAGATATGTAAAATCCAAAATAGAGGTGTTGGCCATCTTGGGGATAAAAGGTAGCAAGAGCCTTTTCAAGATCTGGATAACAAGCTTGCAAATTTAATAATTATTGTATTACATCTCTCACAATCCTCATTTAAAACTGTAAACTAACATTTCTTGTAGTTGACACAGAGCTATGTACTATTACATAGTTAGTTAGTTACATAGCTGAAAAAAAAATTGCGTCCATCAAGTTCAGCCTTCCTCACATATGTTTTTGCTGTTGATCCAAAAGAAGGCAAAAACCCAGTCTGAAGCGCTTCCAATTTTGCAGCAAACTAGGAAAAAGTTCCTTCTTGACCCCAAACTACAGTCAAATGTCTCCTTGGAGACATTACCCCACTATTATATCCCGTATGTTATGTTTTTGCAAGTATTTATCCAATTGCTGTTTAAACATCTGTATAGACTCTCATAAAATCACTTCTTCAGGCAGAGAATTCCATATCCTTATTGCTCTTACTGTAAAAACACCTTTTCTTTGCCTTAGATGAAATCTCCTTTCTTACAGTCTAAATGCGTGACATTGTGTCCTATGTATAGCCCTATTTATGAATAGATTTCCAGATAAAGGTTTGTACTGGCCCTGAATATATTTGTATAATGTTATCATATCCCCTTGAAGGCGCCGTTTTTCCAAGCTAAAGAGATTTCATTTTTTTAACCTTTCTTCGTAATTAAAATGCTCCATTCCTGCCATGATATCCTTCTTTAGAACAGGTGCCCAAAATTGCACAACATATTCAAGGTGAGGTCTTACCAGCGATTTATAAAGAGGTAAAATTATATTTTCATCCCTAGAATTTATGCCCCTATTTAAACATGACAAAACCTTAATGGCCTTAGCAACTGCAGATTGACATTGCATATTGCTGCCTAATTTGTTGTCTATAACAATTCCCAAATCCTTCTCGTGTGTGTGGCTATCCCTAATTCACTACTATTTAGGGTGTATGTTGCTTGTGCATTCTTGACCCCGAAATGCATAACTTTGCATTTCTCTACATTAAATTGCATCTGCCATTTTAGTGCCAGTCCCCCAATCTATCTAAATCCCCGTGCAGCAAAGCAATATCCTGCTCCCATTTTATTACTTTACAAAGTTTTGTGTCATCTGCAAACACTAAAACATGACTTTCAATGCCTATTTGAAGATCATTTATAAATATGTTAAATAGAAGCGGTACCAAAACAAAACCCTGAGGGACACCACTTACCACTTTTGTCAAGATTGAAAATGTATCATTAATGACAACTTGTTGTACTCTATCCTTAAGCCAATGTTCTACCCAAGAACAAGAATATTCATCTAGACCAATTTAGTTTGAAGACTAACCTATTGTGAGGAACCGTATCAAATGCCTTGGCATAATCCAAGTAGATCACATCCACTGCAACACCCTGATCCAGGGCCGCCATCAGAAATTTTGGGGCCCCTGACAAAGCACAAGGTTTGGGCCCCCCCCTCCCTCCCTCCCGGGCCCGCACACGCCCTACCTGGTCCGCTGACAATGATACAGGACTGAATGTGGTGTGTATAGTGGAAGTGAATTAGAATGTGTGTAATGGATGCAGTGTTTGTGTGTATTAGATACTGTTTGTACAGTGAATGCAGAGTGTATGTTAGTGTAGTGAATGCAGAGTGTGTGTCAGTATAGTGAATACAGAGTATGTCAGTGTAATGAATGTAGTGTGTGTGTTAATGCAGTGAATGCAGAGTGTGTGTAAATTTGTAGTGAATGCAGAGTGTGTGTTAATGTATAGTGAATGCAGAGTGTGTTAATGTGTAGTGAATGCAGAGTGTGTGTTAGTGTGTAGTGGATGCAGAGAGTGTGTTAGTGTAGTGAATGCAGAGAGTGTGTTAGTGTAGTGAATGCAGAGAGTGTGTTAGTGTGTAGCGGATGCAGAGTGTGTGTTAGTGTAGTGAATGCAGAGATTGTGTTAGTGTGTAGCGGATGCAGAGTGTGTGTGTTAGTGTAGTGAATGCAGAGTGTGTTAATGTGTAGTGAATGCAGAGAGTGTGTTAGTGTGTAGTGGATGCAGAGTGTGTGTTAGTGTAGTGAATGCAGAGAGTGTGTTAGTGTGTAGCGGATGCAGAGTGTGTGTTAGTGTAGTGAATGCAGAGATTGTGTTAGTGTGTAGCGGATGCAGAGTGTGTGTGTTAGTGTAGTGAATGCAGAGAGTGTGTTAGTGTAGTGAATGCAGAGAGTGTGTTAATGTGTAGTGGATGCAGAGTGTGTGTTAGTGTAGTGAATGCAGAGAGTGTGTTAGTGTGTAGCGGATGCAGAGTGTGTGTCAGTGTAGTGGATGCAGAGTGTGTGTTAGTGTGTAGCGGATGCAGAGTGTGTTAATGTGTAGCGAATGCAGTGTGTGTGTTGTGTTAGTGGATGCAGCGTGTGTGTGTGTGTTGTGTTAGTGTATGCAGTGTGTGTGGGTTGTGTTAGTGTATGTATTGTGTGTGTTGTGTTAGTGTATGCAATGTGTGTGTGTTGTGTTAGTGTATGCAGTGTGTGTTGTGTTAGTGTATGCAATGTGTGTGTGTTGTGTTAGTGTATGCAGTGTGTTGTGTTAGTGTATGCAGTGTGTGTTGTGTTAGTGTATGTAGTGTGTGTGTTGTTTTAGTGTATGCAGTGTGTGTTGTGTTAGTGTATGCAGTGTGTGTGTTGTGTTAGTGTATGCAGTGTGTGTTGTGTTAGTGTATGCAGTGTGTGTGTTGTGTTAGTGTATGCAGTGTGTGTTGTGTTAGTGTATGTGGTGTGTGTGTTGTGTTAGTGTATGTAGTGTGTGTGTTGTGTTAGTGTATGCAGTGTGTGTTGTGTTAGTGTATGTAGTGGGTGTGTTGTCTTTTAGTGTATGCAGTGTGTATTGTGTTAGTGTACGCAGTGTGTGTGTTGTGTTAGTGTATGCAGTGTGTGTGTTGGCTCTTTAGTGTATGCAGTGTGTGTGTTGTGTTAGTGTATGCAGTGTGTGTTGTGTTAGTGTATGTAGTGTGTGTGTTGTTTTAGTGTATGCAGTGTGTGTTGTGTTAGTGTATGCAGTGTGTTTGTTGTGTTAGTGTATGCAGTGTGCGTGTTGTGTTAGTGTATGCAGTGTGTGTGTTAGTGTATGCAGTGTGTGTGTTGTGTTAGTGTATGCAGTGTGTGTGTGTTGTGTTGTGTTAGTGTATGCAGTGTGTGTGTTGTGTTAGTGTATGCAGTGTGTGTGTTGTGTTAGTGTATGCAGTGTGTTGTGTTAGTGTATGCAGTGTGTGTGTGTTGTTTTAGTGTATGCAGTGTGTGTGTTGTGTTAGTGTATGCAGTGTGTGTTGTGTTAGTGTATGTAGTGTGTGTGTTGTTTTAGTGTATGCAGTGTGTGTTGTGTTAGTGTATGTAGTGTGTGTTGTTTTAGTGTATGCAGTGTGTGTTGTGTTAGTGTATGCAGTGTGTGTTGTGTTAGTGTATGTAGTGTGTGTGCTGTTTTAGTGTATGCAGTGTGTGTTGTGTTAGTGTATGCAGTGTGTGTGTTGTGTTAGTGTATGCAGTGTGTGTTGTGTTAGTGTATGTAGTGGGTGTGTTGTTTTAGTGTATGCAGTGTGTGTTGTGTTAGTGTATGCAGTGTGTGTGTTGTGTTAGTGTATGCAGTGTGTGTGTTGTTTTAGTGTATGCAGTGTGTGTTGTTTTAGTGTATGCAGTGTGTGTGTTGTTTTAGTGTATGCAGTGTGTGTTGTTTTAGTGTATGCAGTGTGTGTGTTGTTTTAGTGTATGCAGTGTGTGTTGTGTTAGTGTATGCAGTGTGTGTTGTGGGGTTAGTGTGTATGTAGTGTGTGTTGTTTAGTGTATGCAGTGTGTGTTGTGTTAGTGTATGGTGTGTGTTTGTTGTGTTAGTGTATGCAGTGTGTGTGTTGTGTTAGTGTATGCAGTGTGTGTGTGTGTGTTAGTGAATGCAGTGTGTGTTGTATGCAGTGTGTGCTGTGTTAGTGTATGCAGTGTGTGTTGTGTTAGTGTATGCAGTGTGTGTTGTGTTGGTGAATGCAGTGTATGTGTGTGTTGTATTGGTGTATGCAGTGTGTGTGTGTTGTGTTAGTGTATGCAGTGTGTGTTGGGTTAGTGTATGCAGTGTGTGTGTTGTGTTAGTGTATGCAGTGTGTGTGTGTGTTGTTGGTGTATGCAGTGTGTGTGTTGTGTTAGTGTATGCAGTGTGTGTGTTGTGTTAGTGTGTGCAGTGTGTGTGTGTGTTGTGTATGCAGTGTGTGTGTTGTGTTGTGTATGCAGTGTGTGTGTTGTGTTAGTGTATGCAGTGTGTGTGTTGCAGTGTTGTGTTGTATGTGTATGCAGTGTGTGTGTTGTATTAGTGTATGCAGTGTGTGTTGTGTTAGTGTATGCAGTGTGTGTTGTGTTAGTGTATGTAGTGTGTGTGTTGTGTTAGTGTATGCAGTGTGTGTGTTGTGTTAGTGTATGCAGTGTGTGTGTTGTGTTAGTGTATGCAGTGTGTGTTGTTAGTTCCTCCAATCCTTCGGTACAATATGTGAAACAAAAGAATCTTGAAAGATTAAATACAGAGGTTCACTTATTTCCCCACTTAGCTCCTTAAGTACTCGTGGGTGAATACCGTCAGACTTTATTTACATTAATTTTCTTTAACTGCTGTAGCACCTTGTCTCGAGTCTTCCAATAACAAGCTATCTGCAAGTTTTTTGCAGCAATCAGTTGCATATCTCCTGCCATAGGATCCTCATTAATATATACTGAAGAAAAATAGTTTTTTTTAAATATCTCCCTTTTCCTGGTCTTTGTTAACTAAAAGACCCATCTCTGATTCCAGTGTACCTACACTTTAATTTTTAGTTTTTTTAGAATTGATGTACTTGAAAACATTTTTGGGGTTTGTTTTGCATTCTTTGGCTATCAAATTCTCATTTTCTAGTTTAGCCACTTTAATTGCCCTTTTGCAAGTATTATTGGCTTCCTTATATCTTATATAGGATGCCTCTAATTTGTCTGATTTAAATGCTTCAAACGCTCTTTTCTTATTTTTAATCTCTTGTTTTACTTCTCTGCTAAGCCACATTGGTTTCAATGTGTTTCTTTTATATTTATTACCCAATGGTACATACTGAGAAATGTACCCTTCTACTATTTGTTTGAAGAGTTTCCATTTATCCTCGGTGGTTTTTTTAACACTAAATTCACTGAGTTTATGCCAGTCGGTATGTTGTAGAGCTGCCCTAATCTTATTGAAATTGACTTTTTTTTAAATGATATGTTTTAGTATACCCCACTTGCTTTTGCTTTTTTGAGTTTATTTAAAAAAATTACCATATTGTGATCACTATTTCCCAAATGCTCCCCAGACAAGGTTGGTCAAAAGATCAACCTTGTCTGTTATAATGAGATCCAAACAAGCATCCTTTCTAGTTGGTTCTTGTACCAGTTGTGACATGAAGGTGTCATTTAACACATTTAAAAATCTGATTTCCCTTACTGAAGTACTAGTCACTCTATCCCAGTTTTTGTTCGGGTAATTAAAATCTCCAATAATTAACGTTTTTGTGACCCCGATTTTCAGCTTTCCCAATTTGCTCTAACAGCTGTTCTTCCTCATTAATATTTACATTAGGTGGTTTATAACATATCCTAGCCTATAATTGATTTTCCCTTCATTTGCCCCAAGCAGATATCTACCCATGAAGCTTCCACATTTTCCTCGTCACACTCCACATGCCCTAGATTTTGCTTTAACTCATGGTTGACATACAAACATACCCCACTACCCTTCTTGTTTTTCCTATACTTCCTAAATTGCGTGTACCCATTTAAGTTAACTGCCCAGCCATGTGTCTCATACCACCATGTTTCTGTTATGCCTATTATATCATATTGTTTAGTGTATGCTATTGCCTCTAGTTCCCCCATTTTGTTATATAGGCTTCTTACATTAGTAAGCATACATTTAATATTATCATGAGTCTTTTGTACTTTTTGTGAATCTTTATCAATATTACACACCTCCTCTGTTTCCCCTTCCCCCTTCCCCCTCCCCCCATCTCCACCAGCCTTATACTGAGCTAAAGCCCATCTCCTTTTTATCCTATCTCCATTTTCTAGATTGCTTTGACCCTCCCCCCCTGCTACTAGTTTAAAATCTCCTCCAACCTTTCTATCCCCCAGCACAGCAGACCCTCTTCCGTTTAGGTGCAATCCATCACTGCTATACAGGTTGTACCTAAGAGAAAAATTGTCCCAGTGCTCTAAAAACCCAAACCCTCTTTCCTGCACCAAGACTTCAGCCACGCATTGAACTCTCTAATCTCCCGCTGTATTTCTGCTGTAGCGCGCGGCACAGGTAATATTTCTGAAAATATTACCTTGGAGGTCCTTTTCTTTAGCTTACTTCCTAGTTCCCTGAACTCATTCTTTAGAAACTTCCATTTTCCTCTGACTTTGTCATTGGTACCAATATGGACCATGACAGCTGGGTCATCCCCAGCCCCTCCCAATAATTCCTCAACTTTGTCGGCAACATGCCGGACCCGAGCACCTGGAACACAGCAAACTGTCCGGTTGAAAAAACAAAATTCCACCCCAAGGGAAGGAATAAATATAGGTGGATTGGCGCTAAAGAACAAAGCAGCAACTACCCCCAGTGTCTATAAATCACTCAAAAGACACTTCCAAACAGTGATAAAACAAGATAACAAAGTGGGGGGTGCAGTGTACAGATAAAAAGCAAAACACGTATATACTTATAGTAAAACGTTCCTTTAGCTTAATCTGAAAAACATAAAAGTCCATACATAGTGTAACACTGTAAAATATAGGACAGGTGGATGTAAAGGTATTGGGTCACTCACAATAGATAGAGCCTAGAAAGCAGGCTCAGACTTAATGGCATGTGGAAAATCAGCTTTCCCAAGCTTTACAGACTGGCTCCACACTCCTCCTATAGGTACTGGTATTCTGCTCCAGACGTAGGAAGGATTGATGATAGACCAAAGTATAATAGTATTAAAAAGTATTTACTTAAAATAAAACAATAAAATAAAATGTAATATAAAATAATATTACATACAGACACACAACGCGTTTCGACTAAATGTCTTTGTCAAGTGATACACTTGACAAAGACATTTAGTCGAAACGCGTTGTGTTAATGTATGTAATATTATTTTATATTACATTTTATTTTATTGTTTTATTTTAA